TATTTTTTTTTCTTTAAATAAAATGAATGCAATTTGTTAATTTCCTGAGGTTTACTTTTTTATGTTTTCTTGTTGTTTAATATTTTCTTTTTATTATTAAATATATGTTTTCATTTATGTTTTTAAATTGTTACAAAATAAACAAAAAAAATTGTTGTTGGAAAATAATATAATGTTTTTGTTTTGCTGTTTTTTTTCATATTTTGTTTCTTTTAAATATAATTTAATCATAAATTTATAGGTATGTCATGTTATGTTTTATTTTGTTTTTGCTTTACAACCCAGAGCCTAAATATTAAAAATAATGCATTTAAAAAAATTAGATTTTGTTTTATTTCCGTTTTTTTATTTTTCGTAAAAAAACTAACTCAGTTAAAATATATTCATTATTTTGATATGTAAAGGATATTATATATTTTATTAATTTCCATAATAGTGTTGATTTTGAAGAAATTTTTGTGATAACGGCTAAAGTGAATGTTAGGTGTGGAAATTGGTGTAACGGAGGAAAAGGAAAATTATCAAGAATCTACATTTTGAATTTGGTTTCAGAAAATATAATTTTAACATATAGAAGCCTCTCACAGCGTAAATATGACTTATAAAATGGAGAAATATGGGTATATTAAATCTTATTAAAAATATTTTAAAATTTACTTCAAAATTCCCCAAATATGAAAATACTGCTACCCCTTAGTAATAATATGAAAATTTTCCAAGTGTATTTCCACAGAAGGTAGAAAGATAATTTAAAGTTTCAATTCAAATGTTTACAAAAACCGAAAACAATTTGATGAAAATGTCGAAAATCTGCCTTAAAAGACCTTTAGAGAAATATTCTATGTTTAAAATGCATTCAAAATATTTTTTGTATGTATTGAATGTCTTTAAAAGAGAAAACTGTTTTATAGGCAATTCTTCACCACCATAGACGAATTATATTCCAGGAAAAACAACCAAACTTTGCTCCATCCGTGGTACTGCCCTGACGACTTTCTACATTGAGAATACTTTTCGACACGTTTTCAATCTATAGAATAGCAGAATGTTCTGTATTTAAAACACAGCCTGTCAACAATGTGTTCAAGCTTATTTCATAAATTTTGGTTAACCCATCAAAAAATCAATATTTTGAATTTTCCAAATATTTAATAATTTTTTTTATTAAAGTCGTTCATAAAAAACGTTGAAAAAAAATTTAAAATCATGAAAAATTTTATTTGATTTTTCTTTTAAATATTTTTTTACAATTTTCCTCAATATGGTCTCTGAAGAACGGTCAAATCTTAAAAAAGTCTCTTACGTGTTTATTGACCTTTACTGAAAAAACTTTGAAAAAAATTAAAAATCATGAAAAATTTTATTTGATTTTTCTTTTAAATATTTTTTTCCACAATTTTGCTCAATATGGTCTCTGAAGAACGGTCCAATCTTAAAAAATTCTCTTATTTGTTTATTGGCCTGTCTACAGTAGACATGGAGAGATGATGGAAGCCCCCTAAGTGACTTCCAGTAAATAAGGCCCATCAAAATGTACCCTACTGTAAAAGATTATTAAAGATCTTCTATCTGAGTGCGATCTCCACAAATTGCATTTTGAGCACATTTGCAGTATTTTCAGCCATCCCTACTTACCAATAAGCCTGTAAACGACCTCCACAGGAAACTTGAAATAAGTCTTCTAAATATCGAAAAAACTATGTGTTCTTTAAACGGATATTTTATCTTCATTTCGGAGATAAGCAATCCATAAATATACAGTTATTTTACAATCTCACACAACTCTCACTCTCTCAATTAACATCGTGTAATTCCATTGCATGAAATTGGACTGCTCAGCGGAGAGTTTTTATTTGTTGTTTTTTCTCCCTTTATTTTCTCAACCGAGCAGATCTTTGCCGATTTCCGTCCCAAAAAATTGCTACCTATTTAAATCCAGCAAAAGGTATACTTGCTAAATATATCCTCCAAACGGTGTAATGGCGAAATATTGTCTGACAATTAGTACTGCCCACGATGATTTGCATTAAAAATGGAAAACATCCGTTCACCCATATCCTGGTGCCCCCCTAAATTTCGTTTTTCCACAAGCCGCCTGTGAGTTCAGCTACTATACGGTAGACGGAATCTGAGCTTATCTACGCGAGAGTATATGTCCCTTGAGGCCTTTTTGTCTATAGTAAACGACCCCTGAGACCATCGACTCTACAGAAGATTCTCCTTAAGACCTATTGGTATACAATAGATGTGATCATCTAATACAGTGGATGTCCCCCGAGGCCTGAAAACATCTAATCATCTGTAGAATTCCCCTGAGATCATCTACTCTACGCTAAATGGCTCCTGAGACACCTTCCCTACATTAGATGTCCCCTAAGACTATATATTCTACAAGAGATGTCTCATGAGACCATCTTCTTTACAGTAGATGTCCCCTTATGCCACCGACCCTACAATAGATGTCCCATTAGAACATCTACCCAGTAGGCAGACTTGAGTCCATCTATTTCACCGTATATGCTCCAAGGGTCCATCAATTCGCCTTGATGGTCCGATATTGTCAATTTTCCCACCTAACCTAGAACTGATGTTGGTATCAATTTCAAATTATTTTTAAATAAATTTTCAAAGTAACAAAATAGTAATTATCCTTTCCCTTTCTATGATGTAAAATATTTTTTGAAAATGTTAACCATTTATAGTCGAGGTTTTGGTACCTCCGATGGGCCGATATTGTCCATCTCCGAACACGATCTAACTTTGATAATAATATTATGAGTTTTATATACCAAACTTTAAACAATTCTGTTAAATGTGTGGCTTGACTCGTCAAAATATCGAATACCGAAGAATCATTGGCCTCCTGCTGTCTGAGGAGTGTATATTAATATACCCTCGCCAAGATTAACACTAACCATTTTTGGAGGGATACATATATATGACTTTTACTTCACATAGGGTACCCCAATATGACATTTTGATAAGATTTATTCGAAAATTTCTAAGTTTTTTTATGGAGAAGGCACAAGCAGGATTTAACCAATGTATTGCATCTTGGCATTTTCTCTACTACAGGCAAAAATATTGCGAAAATCGGTCACTGATTTCACATTTTACGAGAATTGTAGTTATTCTACATTTGGACCATTTGTTAAGTGGGTAAAAAAAAGTCGCCCTATATTGTCCTGTTTCGCAGAGGACCTAAGTCTTATCTAAATATTACGATGTGCCTCAATCTGAATTTTTTTGTTTTGAATATTATTTGCTTTTGTTGTGACAGTGCCGATATGCTCTTCTCCGAACTCTATATATGTTTTCTAAAAATATTATCGTATACCAAGTTTAGACCAATTAAGTGATGCCGTTCGAGTGATATCGAGACACATGGAATACAGACATCACTAGATAAACTCCAAATTCTCTGAACCGGATTTCGTTAAGCATATCTAACACCTAAAACCGTTGCCTAAATGTGGCACATTTTTGCCATATCGAATTATATATACGCTCTGTAGCCATATGAGTGAGGGTATGAAACTTATAAAGTCCAGTTAACAAAGGAATTCAAAATGGCGCTACGTGTCGCTCAGGTAAGGAAACCATTACGAAAGAAGTTTTTGAACCGGACTTTCTCTTGAGGAGGTGATTAAATTAGACATGGAGATCTTGTGATTGACCAACAAGTGGCTTTTTCTTTGGTGTCACATGAAAGATGAGGACTACGCCAACAGCCCAGCTTTGATGAAGGAAATTCGTGAGGCTATCATTTGGCTGTTGTTGTATTCCGATATTTAATTCTTTCTTATGAGATAGACCATTGAACATATTTTTTACTGGAAACCCCATTAGTTTTCACAATAGTAATACAATGGATAGGGATCCAAATTAGGAGTTGTTTGTGTGAAACGAGAGATCGAAAGGTTTGGTAAATAAATCCTCTCATGTAATTCAAAACCGATAGTCATAAGCTGGGGGTCTGTAATGCATTCAATCGTAAACACTTCGGATAGGAAATAAACCTAGAACATTTAAAATACAAAAAATCGGCCCGCACTGCTTTCTGTCAAAAAGTGGAGCCATACGGAAAATTGATTATGATTTTATAATTGTATCATGATTTAAACAGATATACCAATATTTAATTCTGTCATCTTCGTTGAAAACACCTTATTGAACTGTCATTATTTTGACTATTTTTAAAACCAAATGGAAGGGTGTGCTCAAAATCAAAATATGGATCTAATAAAACTTACAAATGAAATAAAAAACCAGCTGGGGTTGAAATGTTAAGGAATCGACAGAGAAAAATTATTGAAATAACTTCAATTCTAAAATTCAATTCTCATTTTGGCTTTAAAGAACGTTTTAGTCGGAATTGGATTTTTTAATGAAAGTATCTTAATTCCAATATGGAAATAAATTATTAAAACTCGTTTTTTGAAAATTGAAAGTTTAATAACATTAAATATTTTTTCAGTGAATTTTAGCTAATATTTTCTTTTTTCAAGTTGGCTTATGGATTCCGTGTAAGGATATATGTAAGGATTCATGTAAATAAATACGACTCTAGATGGGTTCAAGTATTGAAAACAAAATGCCATTAAAAAAATTGTTTGGTATTTAGGCTAAGGGAATTTGTTGTTTTTTGGTATGTTTTTTGTTGATTTTTTTGGGTTTTGAGTTGAAAAGTAGAGAGAAAGAGAAATTCTTAAAGAAAAAGTATTTTGATTTGTTGTTTTTATTTTTTTCTAATTTCATTTTTTAATGCCATTTTTTGTTTATCTTATGTTGTCTTCGGTTTCTTTTTGATACGAATATTAAATAGATACGGTTATGTAAACATTAATGCAGATAAAGACAGATTCAGTTTGTTGTTGTTGTTTTTTGGTAATTATGTTGTTGTAATAGTATTTTCATGTTGTTTTTCTTGCGATTTTGGTGGTTGTATTGGATTAAAATTGTTTTTTATTTATGGTTTTTTGAATTTTGAACTTAGCTGATTTTTTTGTTTTGTTCCATTTATTTGCATTTGCTGTTGTTGTAATTCAATTTTGTTTCCGTTTTTATTTTGTTTTGTTATTATTTATTTAATAATTCTATAAAAAGTTTTTCTTTGATGCATCCGTTGTATTCTTATCCGTATCCTTAAAGTCTTTCGATGTTATGGGTGGTCCACGGGATTCAAAGGTCGGTTTGACCATGGCCAAAGCGGGATTTAGATCAAGCATGGTGCGAGGACTCATGGCAACAATACTGGCACCAATGGGACCTAAATTTTATAGAAAATAAAAAAATAGGTGATATTAGATCTCTATAGGGACATAAGAACTAATGGTTTCACTAAAAGTCTTCTAAAGTAAATATTACGAATAGTAAAAAAACAGAAGCATTTAGTTGAAGCAAGCTGTTGAAGCAGGTTTTTTTCGAACAAAAACAAGAGATAGAAATGTAGAAATTTTTTTATTGGAATAGTTAACAAACATATACACATGCTTTAAGTTGAATACATATGTAAGTAAGTAAATAGAAGTTCAAGCTTTAGGGATAGAAGAATATTTATTTACAAAGAGGGTAGGATACAGTTCATGCAGTTTTGTTAACATTTTTTATTTAAAAAACAAATTATAAACAAATACTTAAATTCATTGTATGTACAATTTGGGATTTTAATGCCAGTAACCTCAATTAAATGTCACATTTTTATCCTACACCAAAATGTATACAGATGAGTATATTATCTCACTCTTAACAAATTGTATAGAACACCGCCAAATATATGTAATGATATTATAATGAGAGGAACAACTCTAGTTTCCTAAAAACTTTTCGATTTTTTTTTTTAATTTTTTCCAGAGGTAGGTATTTTTACCCGGATTCCGAGAAACTGTTTTTTTTTCTTGGAGGATGGACCCGAGACAACAGATTTATGACCCGAACCCGGACTTTCATAACAAAAATTTGGGGTCCCGGGTCCGTTCCCCGAAAAAAAGTTTCCCGGAATCAAGGTTAAAATACCTACCATTGGAAAAAATTTTCAAAACAATTGAAGCGTTTAAAAATAAAAACTAGAGTTCGATAGAAACCCTAATTCCATTTTTTCAAGGGAAACATTGTCCTTTCAGTTAGCAAAATTACTTTTTGAATTTTTATAATATCCACAGAAAATCCGAACTTCCGATAATTCCTAGAAATACATTAAAATATATAAATTACAGCCTGGGAATACGTATTTAAGAGCTAATACAAAACAATTTTAAACACCAGATTTTTTGTTTTTTACCCAACAATACTACGTATTTGGGGTATTCTAAGTTTGATAACACCGCGAAATATTTGTCCTAGATCCACAAAGTTTCATATTGATTTTCCCATCTCGCTGAGTTGAGCCGATCTAGCTATTTATGTCCCTCCGTTCGTCTGGCGATATTAAATTGTAATCACGCTACCGGTCGCAATTACGGCCCCAAAGGTCAGAATAGAAGTCTATTGTTCTTGGAAATAATCGCAAAATATTTAGGGGTGGAAATGGACCAAAAAAAAAAAGAAATATTTCTTGATTTTGAAGGTGCTCTAAAGGTCACAATTATAGACCATTACATTCATGCTTATATCCAAGATATCGCATATATAGCAAAATGTATACAATCTCATATTTCAAAAAAGGAAATTTTAGTTCGACCTCTTATAGCTCAAGATGGACGGATTCTGACAAACCTCACAAATTAATAGCCTTTTGACAAAAATTAATAAAATCTAGAAATATTGCATAAGAAAATTCTAAAAAAATATATATATCCTCCACCATGGTATTGGTATTAAGTTTGTCATTCCGTTTTTCAATGCCCCGAAATACACATTTTAGACCCCACAAAGTATATATATTAGCATAAAATTCTATGTCGATTTAACGATGACCGTCCGTATGTCTGTCTATCCGTCCGTCTGTGGAAATCAGTGTAGCTAATAAAATTTTACTCAGATGTGTGTTTGTTTTGCAGGACTTTTGGTATTGAAAATGGGCTACATAGGTCCACGTTTCAGTATAGCCCCCATATAGCGGCACCTTCCGATATTCGGCCTTTTGATGATTTTAGCGACAATATTCACCGGAATAATTTCAAATTTGGTATTTGAAGTTCGTAATTTATACTACAGCCTAAGACAAAAAATTATCTGTGCAGATCCACGTCTTCGTATAGCCCCATATAACGGTACTTCCCGATATTTGGTATTTTGATGATTTCAGCAACTTTATTCACCGGAATTGTTTCAAATTTGGTATTTGAAGTTCGTAATGGCTACTACAGCCTATTGCAGAAAATTGTCTGTGCAGATCCAGGTCTTCTTATAGCCCCCATATAACGGTACCTCCCGATATTCGGTACTTTGATGACTTTAGCGACATTTTTCACCAGAATTGCTTAAAATTTTGTATTTGAAGTTCGTAATAGATACTGCAGCCTAAGGCAGAAAATAGTCTGTTCAGGTCCACATTTTGGTATAGCCCCATATAAAAGTACCTCCCTATATTGGTGATTTTAGCTGCATTATTCACCGATTTTTTTTCTAGTTTCGAATTTGAATATTGTAATGGCTGATGACAAAAGTTGAATATGCAGGTTTGCGTTGTCGTTTAGACACTAATATAATGACGACATTTGGTATTTTTAAAATTTTAACAGAATTTTTAACAGAATTTTTAACCGTTTTTTTTTTTTTTTTTTTTTTTTTTGAAAATTGCCAAATTCGTTCCAAATGGTGGAGGGTATTAAAAGTTCGGTCCGGTCGAACTTACAGCTTTTTTACTCGTTAAAAACTCTAATTGCATTCTCTTTCCAATTGGATGGCATTTTGATATTTTGGGAATCTCTCTCTCTCTCTCTCTGAAAAATTTTGTAAAAATAAGTCCACTTTTATATATAGGCCCTATATATGGGTACTTCCTAATTTTAGGTACTTTCTAGGTTTCAAACTCAGTATTTGCCGCGAAATGTCAAGAACAAAATAGTTATTGAGGAATCTGTCTATCTCCAACCAGATTGTTTGCTGCGGTTTAGGTTCGAAGGGCTTATTTTACCTTACTTTTACGACCATGAAGTTTGTAACGACTAAATAAATTTTTATGGTCGGAATTGGATGGTTTTGATCTGGACAAAGTTTATTTTGGGCGTTAATGTGTGGCACAACCCAGTGTCGATTTAAGACCTGAAAGACGGAATTCGTGAGGCAGTCGGGAATAAGGGGCTTCTATTTTACCATTTGACAATGCAGATGGGAGCTACACTAAAAAATGTACCTTCTTTAATGAATTTTGGTTAGACCATCCACAGAAAACCCTGCATATCAAATTACATCCAAGTCGGTTGGAAATTATTGACATTTTGGGATAAAACTTGAATAAATTTATGTATATATTTTTTAATATTTTTTTTTTTAGAAAAATATATTATTTTTATAGTTAACTAGCCAGTTTTTAAATTAAAAAAATGTGAATTGAACCTTAAATTTTCCTACAGACACTGAGCCAATTTTTTTTTTTTTAAATAAAATTTGAAAGAAAATTAATATGTTACTTTTCATCAATAATATTAAAGACCAATTTGGAATATTTTGAAAATTTCATCATATTTTTTTAACCGATTTGTAATTTGGAGTTCGTAATGGGTATTTAACTTTCTTAAAAAGATTTGCCGAATAAAAATTATAGTCCCATGTATTATGTAGTTGAAGACTTTCACTGCATCTCCTGCCAAAATTGGTTAGTATAACAACAGGTTTCAGAATATTTGACATATAACTGAACAACCTAATTATTTGCATACAAAATTAATATTTGTAGAAATTTTAATTTAGTCTCCATAAACCATGTCAAGTTTTTATTTATTTATTTTTTAAAATCGTCATTATTTTTTTTTTTTCAATTCTTTTCAATTTCAATTTTCAATTCAAATACATTTTAAGCTAAAACAACCACCTGCCATCTTCCTTGCCAGTCCTTTCCTGTGGACTAATCTTTCGAAGATATGTTCTTATGTTAACATATAAATATTGCTTTGTGATTTTATAGTTCAATACATTTATTGGTGGTGTTCCATTAATCTACCAGCTGTGGTGTAGAATATCAAAAGGACAATTTAAGAACCTTTAACTTTTGAGGTTTACTGACTTTAAAAATCCAAAAAAAAAATAGTTTTCAATAATTATTGCTGTTTTCTTTTGTTGAACTAAACTATACAATTTGTTTTCTTTTTTAATTTTAGTTCACTAAAATTTTGAGGGGTGTTTTATTATTCATAATACTTAAAATAGGGAGTTCTTTAGAGGACCTTTGTAGGGGGATTTTTTTCTCTTCACCAATTAGTTTCAACAATTTCAAAATAATTTAGGGGTGTTTAACTACAAATTTTTTTAGGGCTTCTCTATGTGGGTGGTTTTTAGTTTTTTTGGGAGGAAGTAACCTTTCAAGGGTAATAAAGTAAAAAAAAAGGGAATTGACTACTTTCTTAAATGTTGTTTAAAAAAAGGAAGAATTACGACAAAGTGATGGTATCAAATTTCAACACACCCTCCCATTTGCTTCCGTTTGTTTTGTTTGTTTGTTTCTTTTTCTTTATGAGGTAGAAGTGTTTTGTTTCCTATTTACTCTTTATTTTTTTGGATTTTGTTTTGATTTGAGATTATTGTGTCATTTTTCTTTTGTGTTCTTGTTGTTGATCTTTCTGTTTGCATTGCTTTGCATTTTGAAAAATTTTGAGAAGCGTTGTCGATTTATTTTTTTTTTGAAAGTTTATAAAAATTTCAATTTGGTTTGGTTTAACTTGTTTGTTAGTTTTTTAGTTAGTTTTTGTTCTTTTTAGTCAAAACCAAAGGCCACATCTGTAAGATACAAAATAAGGATTTTCATTTTAATGAATGTGTGTTGAGTTGTTTTGTCATTTTTTTTTTTGGCTTAAATATAGAAAATGTTATTTTTAAAACTAGGAATGATGTATTATAAAATAATAATAATAATACCAAACAGAAACCCCATATATACATTAATTTATTAATAATTTCATATAATTATATATAAAAAAATATATATAAATAATTAAATTTTTTTTAATGTGGATCACTTTTATTTTGAAATTGAACTTTAAGTCCTGAGTAGACAATTCAGACAATACAGATCAAAAAATGTCCCTTTTCGCTTTATTTAGAATAACCTAAATATCTGTAGGGCTATCAAAAAAAGTAAATAAACCATTTTTAGAATAAAATAAATTCCAC